TCAAACTTATTTAGAAAATTTTCATGTACGTACATAATTACACGCGTTACATGTGAAACATTTCGAAACGTCGTTAACGCTGTAAAGAGAGACGGGTGGTCATAATCGATACGTATGTTATATCAACGTTATATACATGAAAGTTTTCTCTTAATAAATGTTGAAAAATTTCGTCAGGCATTGTATTTAATACGAACCGAATATTTTTCGTAGCTTTTATTTCTTAATTATTTAATTACGAATCTGTAATTTCTTCTAATGTGAAATACCAAGAGAAGGAAAATTACCGAGAATTTGCCGATAATGCTAGCTAGCAGCGTAAATATTTCTCTGCGCGAGAATAAAACGCTCGCGATTGAAAAGTATAATAGCACGATGCACTTCCGGAACGTCTCTCATTTTTTCAGCGCCAGTCTTCAATGCCGACAGATTTCTCACAATCGGGAAGCTCAGGTGCCGTACGGAACTTCCTTCTGAAGAAATCCGAAACAATGTAACGGATGATTCTATACTTTCTATGGTATTGTACTATAGCCGATAGGCGCCATACTACGCGGAAGACACAATTCGTTGCATAATGCATGGAGAACGAATAGTATTCGCTAACGCGTGTTGATCTGCAAATAACACGAATTACCGTATGATCGCGACGAATGATCCACGTAGAAACGCAACAGCCGACGACGGACATGACGACGCTTAATTGCCTTCATTAATCGTTATTTCTCGTTGCGACAAGTTACGTGCTTGCAGCCATGCGACCACGTTTTTTACCTACTTCCACGTGTTAGGATATGGTTACGACATTCTGACAAATTGTCCTCCCGACGAGTGAAATAATTTAAATACCGAGATGCGCATCTCGTAAGAATTTGTACGAAGACTATGGGAGAAGGATACGATAAGTTACGTTTCCTATTTTTTACAGGAAAACAGTTTTAAAATTTAGCAGTTAAGTTAGCAAAACTGTGTTTTGTTTGGCTTTGGAATTAAACGAAAGTTTTGAAATATTATAAGTCGTAATATTAAAATATTGCTCGTTGTAATAATTATTGCGTATCCTTGGCTTTCATTCAAAATTCTTCAATTTATCAGCTATTTTCAAATGACTTACATATTTCGATCTAACCGATCGTTTTCATTTTTCATCGTGTCACGTTAAGCTTCTTCCTTAGTCATAAAGCAACGTTAAAATCAAAAGATCTCAACTCAAGAAGTAACTATCACGCTTTTTTCTCTCGTCTGATCGTCGTATGTTTGATTATTCTAATGTGTTCGTCAGACTACTTTGAAGCCGCAGGCTTATTTCGCGGTGAAATCAAGAATCGAAAGGAGACATCGGACAGCGAACGTGCATCTCATCTCGAATGACAAAACAAGTATTCTTAGTAGCATCGTCGGTTCTTCTCAGCTCGGAAATTCGGTTAGTCCGGTACTGCGTGAAAATTAAAAACCGAAAGAAGAAAATTAAGACCGGATGATCCTCGAGTGAATGCGCATAGATAAATCCTAGTTTTTAGCGTGTGTAGTGGTTTTCACAGGTTAACGTTAGGTACCTGTAGCCTCGTAAGAGACGCACAAACCGGTCCTAAAAAAACATAATAGGACAGCTATCGAATATAACGAAAAAGCTTCCGATTCCTAGAAACGAGTCGGTCAGAAAATCGAACGAAAGAGCCGGAAAGGATCGAATCGACTCGTCACGAACCATTTCAAACGGTGTATTTTCCAATTACACGAGGCAAGATTATTTTTCTAAGGGAAGAAAAAGAGAAGTACGTAAGCAGGGGAACAGCGAATGCTTGATTCAAAACGATTCTTTGCCCGTGAGCTTTTAATAAACTGGAACCCCTTTGTGAGACTAGCTTTTCAATATCTTTCCTGCGACCAGTTCGATGGGGCGTATTGGTAGAAAGCCGGAATAATGTGTTGGCAGTTTATTCTTCTGGCCAAGATATAGAAGGAAAACGCTGAACTTTGTATTCGGTTGACAAAAGAATCTGGCGAGGCAACAGCTCCGCTCGAGATATCGGGATAACGAGGCACCACGAACCCCCAAAAGGAAACCGATATCGAACGAAGCTAGTTTTTTTATTTTTTTTCTTTTTTTCGTTTCAAACGGACGACGAGTTATCAAACTACTAATGGGATTCAAAGCATCGGCTATCGAAGCGCATCTATTTTCAGAGATTTCTTCATCGGTGCTCTCCGATGATGAATTTTCGTTCTCCGATCGACCGAGTTCAAAGAGCATTCCGTAAGGCGGCTGGTGATCTTTCGGTCGATCATTCCAGTCAAAGTGCTTTTCATCTTCTCTCATCTTTTCGAGATAAGCAGATCTATTTGGCGCCAGCTCTTCGAAGAAAGGGAAAATTCAATGTGGCACGCGAGATGCGAGCGAAACTGTAGTTGAAAGTTATCCAAGACCGATCTTTTCGAATCTGTTTAACGCTACTCGTTTGACGCCACGCATTTGCAAAACGGAAAACTTAATATGGAATGAAAAGCGTGAATGAAACTTCATTGAAAATTATCCTATTTCGATTTCTCAAAACTGTTTCATACCTCTCGTTCTATGCCATCCGGCTGAAGAAAGGAAAGATTTGTTATTTATGAAACGTAAGATACGAATGAATCTTTACTGAAAACTATCCAAGATCGACTTTGTTCAAACCATTATCTAACGCCATCTGTTCGAAAAAAGAGAAAATTTACATAATAACGGAATAACATAAAACATAAAAACGAAGCTTCATTGAAAAGTACCCAAGTTCGACTTTTTCATTAGGATAGTATTACGAAAGTCGAGAAAAGAATGCACGCGTTGTATTACGCTCGGCCGAAGAACGTTACCGATAATGATCGTTATTGTGCATGAGAATTTCTCACTTACTCCGGCGCGCTTCGCAATAACCGCCAATAACGCAACAACAATGTGCATGCATAACGAGCTGGCGTTGCATGTACAAGGGAAACCATAAACATTGTTAGCCTGACGAAACAGTTGAAATTTACTCTTGAGAAACTAATTGCACGGGCGCAAAAATGTTCGTTGACAGGTTCTTTATATTAAAGAAAATACTAGTATAGTAATAAAATGGCTGCGGTTTCAAACGAACACCTCAAGGTAATCCTTCTCGCGTGCTTTAACGTTCTTCTCGTTTTTTCTAATAAATCTAAAGATGATGATATGCATGTTAAATACGTGCGTATACAGAGAAAATAAGATATTAACAATGTTAAATATCCACCCGGATATTCGTGACGAGTGTCACGCTGCAACGACGAGAGGGTCACAGGAACGGTAATCCGAGCGACTACATATTACGTATATCGTTTCAGTTGGTTAGCTGGAAAATCCACAAGTGGCCGAGAAACCTACACACGCCATATACTCGAGCCACCTTCGACTTTGAATTCGCTTTATTTGTTCGAAGAATTATGAAATTTAGCTTAATAATTACCCGAGAAAATATTTTCGTTCTGTTTTCCTGTATTCGATAAAGAAACATAGGAAGTTTAACACTCGTGTTTTGGTTAGATACTTTCGAAAGATCCTTTCTTGGATAAAAAGATTACGTAAAAATATATTTTTACTTTTAACGAATTATACTCGTTGTAACATATCAAATTATGTTCCTACGTGAGAAAACAACGTGTAATTTCATCGATGTTGAACTCTCATTAACGTCAATCAATAGACATTTTCATCGCCAACAAGTGGCAGTAGATCGATCATCACGTGGAACTAGAGTTACGACATACATATATCATATACAGATTGCGATGTATACAAAACTGGCGGGTCCTTACCTTGAAAATGAAACTCGAAGTTCCGCTATGATTGTTTTCAGTGGCTTCCAGTTCGTCGGATTCGCCTTGATTCCAAAAGTAAAACAGGCTGGTCGCACAAAGTCGATGATCACACTTTTCGATAAAAACAGTCAAAAAGATAAAAACACAACAGATTCGATGCTTCACAAATTTAACACAAAGAAGGAAAATTCACCCCGGCGAGTATTGTTAGTCGCGACGCGTAAAGCCTCTGATACTACACGATGCAATTTCGTTTCACGAGGGAAGAAAACAATGTACTTACGTGACGAGCCCGAAAACAAACAAAACTAACGCACGCTCGGCGGTTAGCGAGCGAATGAGGCTCTGTTTTCCATCGGTCCCACCAAGCACCAACCAGGCCAATAACCTGACAGCATATCCCTGAACGTTTTCACGACCTTCCCGTGCCGAGTCGATATAGCAGCGTACCTTATCGACCGATAATATAAACGAAAGATATGAAAGGTTTGTCTATTCTGCTTATAATAAATAGAATACGGAGTTTTATGCGAATTCGTATTTTTATATTTTGTTGAATATTATAATAAATACTGTATTTTGGACATCTTTGCATATTATGTGCATTTTTGCAATTTTAAATTTCCTATAGATGCATAAAAATCCGCACTATTAATAAATGTTATCCTTAATGACTTTCAGTTTGTGTTTCATCGAACATAAGTATTGTCAGCATTAACGATTACGAATTGTTATAAAACAAATGTTATAGCAAGTACACACAGCGAATACTTCATTCAAAACTCTCTTACTATTCCGTGTTTTTGTTTTTAACACATTTGCAAATTTTCGAATTTGAAATAAATAAAAATTCAAATTTAACTATGTCATAAAAAGAAATCAAAGAAACATACTTATTATATTTGATTACTTATAAAAAAACTTACTTCTATTTAATCGCATAAATATACGATATAGTTTTGTTACTATAAATAAATTGTGCTAACCGTTTATAATCAAAAAATTGTTTGTCGTATATGGTGAGATAGATAGCTTTTTTTAATAATATACAAATCTTTGGAAATAAATATAGATATTTACTTCTGGATGATACGAATCGCACAAAAGTTAATATAGCCTTTAAATTTGGTGGGAAATTATTTTTTGTTTCAGAACCAAGTGTACTTACAGAAACTTAAAAATTTCATTCTAAATATACTCTATTAATTTCCTTCTTTCACTACAGGTAATTGAAACCCCGGTAAACATATATCTCTTTTTAGTCATACTGACAAACAACTTGTCAATAGTATAAAAATGTCATTGGTACAAAAATTACAGTAAATACCATAAGTGATAGCTATTATAAAAGTAAAACATATGTGTGTGTGTGTGTGTGTGTGTGTGTGTTTTATACATAAAATATATAGTTTTTCACGTACTTTTAATACATATATGTATATGTAAACATATGTAATCATAACATACAGTTTGTGGTTTAGTAGCTGTTAAAAAATATGCATGTCTTTTTTGCATTGTAATTTTATGGCCAAGATTTCTATTACCACGCATTATAGATTTGTTTCAGCAGGTACAGTGAGTACACTGTTAATAATTATAATAAAAATTATACTTAAAAAGAAAACATCTAAAAACGTCAAAAAAGAATATATGTCAAAAAAGAACATAAATTTTCAAAATATTATTTCCTAGAAAATAGTTGTAAAACGATTTTTATACATTCACACCATATTTATAACCATAAATATGATATTTCACTTTCCATGCAATAACAAACAACTCATCGCCTTAGCAAAAAAAGAAAAACAATAACTTCAGGCACTTTGAAAATATATTACATATTATTTGTTTTATACTTAAAATTAGGATATCCTAAAATTTTCAGCGATGTCATACATCCGTAATTCATTGCATAGTTTACGATTAAAATGCCTTTTTCTCATTTTAGACATATGTAAAATCTATGTAAAAACAGTTCGTATCTAAATGTAATAATACTTACTCTTCTAATTAAAAATTCTTTAATAAATTCTGATGCGAGTTTCGCGAAACTACTATTTTTCTTCTTTCTTCATTGTTCTGCCTTAACTTTAATATTACATTTTTGGTCCATTGAATATTGCTCTCTTCGGTTTCCAACTATGATATATAATCGCGCGATAATGAAGATTTCAAATAATCTTCGATTCAATAACAAACATAAAAATTTAAAAAGCGCTTGAAAAATCGCTAAATACTGCGTAGGAATCGCAATTTTGTAATATCGTGAAGTATTACTAAATGATAACAATATTATACGCTACGTAAAAAGAAGTTACGTTCCTACTATTCTTCCTGTTCGTTACGCTGAAAGATCTAGAAAACAAAGTTCAAAGCTATGCCAGTTCATCCGTACATTGTTTTCTCTCCTCTTCGACTCGTTGACGAGTGCGATTAAACGCTTCGGTTTTCAGAAAATCCACAGTTTTATACACCGTTGTGTTTGGAGGGGACTGAGTTGGTGGCAAACTCGAAGAAGTGAAATTTTCTGTTGCTTCCAAATCGAGATCTAGATATTGCAAAACAACAAGACGTCGATTCGAAGCAGGAATAAACGTGTTTTGATCTTGATAATAGTATATCTGAAACAAAAATTTATGTCAAATACAATCATGTTTACAAAGAAGAGGTATATAAAATATATTTTTATATACCTCTTCTTTATCATCGAAAGCATTATTATCTTCATCTGACGTCGATTGATGTCGATTCGAATGAACGTGAGTTGGAGGTGTAGGACTAGGAGCCGCTCTAATTCTTCCTCTTCCAGGTGGAGAAGCTAATTGCAAAGGTCCTATAATATGAATAATTTTTTTTCTCAAATATGATGGTTGGGAAAAGAAAATGTAAATAATCATACCTTCTACGGGAGATTTATTCAATGGAGGTTTAAGCTTCCTGTTAATACTCGGAGGCTCGGCAGGAGAGTGTTCGGCAGAACTCATTTCCAAAACTGACACTGTCGGTCCTGGAGACGCTTCATTACTAATGACCGATGTAGAATCGCTAGTTTTTCTTCCTGGTTTTAATTCCCGATAAACAACTGGCGGCGGTGGTGCCACTGTTGTTGGTACTGAAGTTGAATTATCTCGCACAAGTGGACTTGGTAAATTTGAATACGTAGCAGTTGCTGAACTCTCAGAGCGTGGACTCGACGGTTCCTCTTCCTGAAAGTCGTAGCGGAATACGCGTGTATCTTCGACATTACTTGGAGCAGCATTGGAGTAAAAATGTTTATCTATAGTGTTTGACTCGGGTGCTCCAGGTTGGTGAGATCTTGGAAAATCATATGATTCGTCTGTTACAATTGCAGTTGCGGGAGTCGATGGCGCAGGAGTCGCTGGAGTTGTAGGTTTTGAGCTTTCGGTAGCACCATCTAAATTTAAATAATTATGACCAGGATTTTCAGGTAACATATGAGGAGGTTTTGGTGGCCTAGGAGGTGCTGGTAACTTTTCTACAGAAGGCGGTACAATGGAGTCAACGATTCTTAATTTCCCAAATCGTTTTCGAACACTCCAAGAACCAATTTCGGCATCACTCGAACTATGCGGTTGTTTGGATTCGCCTATTATAAAAATATAATGTTATTCACGTAGTGCAATTAAAAACATATATTGATTATATTTACCCGAGGAAGGGAAAGTTTCCCAGTTCACGCTAGGCACCGGAGCAGTCCATTCATCATCGGTGAAAACACTTTCCGCATCTGTTGTTGTAGGAGATCTAGAAGGGGATGGGGCCAATCGTCTTGGGGCATCATAATGTTCAGGTCCTTGCCCCAAAGCCGAATTGAGGGAGCTAGTATCATTTAACCGTCGACCAGAAATACATTCGCTAATAGGAATGTATGGGCCCGAAATAGTACTAGTAGGTGAAATCGGTGGGGATTCTTGTGTTTCAAATTGGAACACTATAAAAAGAATGAATAATATTGTATAAAATCCTATTATCTTATATATATATATATATATATATATATATATATCTGATATATATTATTGATCTTATTAAGTTCCAGATATCTCAAATGATAACAATATGTACTTTGACATTGTTGCTCCTCATCTTGAGTATAGGCCTTTAAACCACAAACTTGACATACAGCATCCACCCACTTATTCATATCAGCTTCACTTTCTGCTACTAGATAATAAGTTCTTTTTGGTGTTTTAACATTGAACATATACTGATATTTTTGCTTGCGATTTTCAAATCTTAAGCCTGCATCCACCTATTTGCAAATAAAAGTGAATATTAAGACATAAGCAAATTCAGTTATGTAAGTCAGGATAAAGATCTCCAAATAGGTAACTACCTGTTCGCATTGATCAAGATCAATACGACCTTTTAATTTTCTACAACGTCTGTCTGTATAATACTCCAAAAAATATTGTCCAGGTAATTCTCCACTATGTCGAAGAGCAAACCACCTTTTCCTCCATCTCTGGAAATAAACAAACGTATCGTAGAAAATATTTAAAAAGGAATATATAAATTCTATATATTTAAGTTGTCATTTAAATTTAATTACTGTGCACAGCATAAAACATTGTCTGCACTGCGATATAAGCGAAAAAGTAATTAGAACATTAACATTCTTGGATAAAAATATCACAACATTCCATACTTATGAAACATTTTTCAGCATACGAGGTTAGAATTCGTAAAAGCTCAACGAACAAATGTAGACATAGCGATTTGACAAGCATTTAAAAATGTAAACAATAAAAAAATTGACGAACCGAGTAGAATTTCGAATTTGTTATTGTTCTATGAAATACTAACCGCTCGCCAAAGTTTGGTAGGTGGCGACTTAATGAGCCACCCTTCGTGCACAATCTCCTGGCTGGTTTTGAGTACCTCCATTCCTACACCCCGATGTTGGCTATGAACCTTTTAATAATTGTGCATTGTTAGAGAGTGCGTGGAACCACCGACAACAAGGATGGCACGCTCGTCGTTCATTTATCTATTTTCGGACGGCGCAGCAGCAATCTCACAGATATACCGACCATCTAGCGATCTCTCTTCGATGATGCACAACTAACACATCAACAACGTTCCACCACAAACGCGCATCATCAACGATAAACACCCTCTGAGGAGCTACAGAAGAATTAAAGAGGAACACCGAAGCGGGACGATGATACGTAGAGAAATCCGACTATCGTCATGGTGCCTCCATTACCACCACCATCTTGGCCACGCATGCCAAGCTATGTCAACCATCATAGATGACACACGCTTTTCTCGGCCTATATAGCTGTAAATGGCAAAATCAGACGCTCCAGTCTATATCGAATCCTGAATCACTCGGGGAATCAAGTTGTTGCTCGTGTTATGAAAATTTGTTTGGATTCATTTGATTAACAGAGCTACATGACGCATCGTCGTCTCGTGACCTGAATGAATGGCGCAGTAGTGCGTTCGAGTTGAAAGTTCTGACTGTAATTCAACAAAGCGAACAAAGGAATTACCGAGGAAGTTCCAAGATCGGCGTTAAACATGATCTTGTCTCTCAACATACATATACATGTATATGTTTTTGTTTGTATATAAGTGTCAAAATTCCATCTATACACAAATAACTAAATAAATCTATGTAATAATAAATATTGTTCTGTACGATTCCGTATTATAAACTATTGCTTTCTCGCAAATTGCTATTCACGACACGTATTCAGATTACGGGCGGAATCATTCTGCATTCCAGAAATTTCGACCGATTCGCGATTTCAAGTCGCGTGAACTCTTGCGGTTAAATAAACACTGACGTTCGTCAAAACAAGAAACATATCGATACAATTAACTAAGCTTATTTGCGTAAATGGTTACAAGCGGAATTATAACGAATGATAGAACAAATTCTCGTCTTGTCATATTTAATTGCAAACCGACAACGACTAGACACACAAAACTCAACAACTCTAAGCAATTACAATGATTAATAAGTACTAGTATGCAGATAAACGAGTAACAAGCAAAGCCGAGGTATATCGTTCGGCTAATTTGCAATTCAGTACTTAACGCGGTAGACGCCGATCGATATTTAAACCTGGCTTTCATTTCTGATTAGCGATATTCTGTTGAAGAGGTCACGTTCGCCATTCTACAAAGAGAAACCGAAGTCGAATAATCCATAAATCGTTTATTAAATATTTTGTTTTTTCTATACAATTCCGTCGCGATGGTAACATCGGTGTCGCAAACCAGCTGTTGAAACGAAACATGTACATGGGGTCGTAAAAAGATGAAAACGAATAGCGTAAATCAGGGGTTCATTCTACAATAAATATAACAAACACGTTTACACATGGAATGCTTCGCTATCAAAGTCGCGTCAATACAGTACAAAAGGAGTCGCGATACATTTTACAGACAAGTACATTTATTTGACACGTAAGTACGGTATAAAACGGAGACTCGTGTACAGATGGATTTCGTTATATAGAGTTTCGGTTTCGTTATATCTATTCCATTGGACGAATAATTGCTCCGATTAGCGTACTCGAAATGTTCCACATCGCATTCGATCTCGACATGGCGATTCCAAAATCTAAGTATGTATACGGTCTCTCTTAACACCTAGAAAATCTTCTTCACAGCTGCCCTATTCTCTATGATAATCTATGTATATACCTCTATACATTGAGCTTTCTTTCGTTAACAGAGTCGTGATTCCTCCGCAATCACTGTAATATTGTAATATCGTTACACGTGTATCACGTGTACCTGTATATGTGTGTACAATATGTATATAGAATATGATATAATATATATATATATCACATACATATTTATATATTATATATATTTATATATATTATATATGTTTATATATAAGCGATAATATAAACATATCGTACGTGTAAACTTGGTACATATAGATCTGAATGGGGACTCTGAACTTCCTTCTTTTGTTATCCGTCCAACGATATCGTTCAACAAGGATTCGTCGCTGAAAACGACAGATAAGGCGGAAGAACTGACGGACAGCAATCGCTTCGGACTTCGGTCGAACGAAGGGAACGGAAATTCTCACGAAATCGTACAAAAGCCTGTGTTCCAATTTGATTTAATTCGATGTGTTACCATCAATACTGCCCTCGTTACTGACTTTTGGAATATTGACGAATCCTCGTGAACAACTCTTTGCAAGAAATGTACATTTAAATACGTTTGTGTACACAAAGGACAACGAAACGAACGACATGTTATGTATAAATAAGACTGCGCTCGAACAGGAATCCACAGATCGTGACAGGATTCAGAAGTTGAAACGTGAAATGATCGCGAGAAAGGTGTCTGAGAGCACACAGGTACAATGTCCAGTATTCAAATAATTATACGTAAACTTTATTTCGTCAGATTTTTCATATTGTGTTAATGGTAAGTATGTATAAATATATACACGTATATGTATAATTCTTACGTGCCAGTTTCGTTTACGTTGTTACATTATGCGCTGTAATCGGATAAGTGATTAGTTCTTAAACCTAAGGAAAGGAGATTCGGCGAACGCAAGAAGAATAAATAGGATGAGAAAATAGAAGAAAAACACGCGTTGCGTTCGTTGCATACTTTAGTCCCATTTTAAGTTAAGACAGTGAGAACCTAGGAGTCCTTGAAAGCCAGAAGGTCGCACTGTACTTTGGTTCTTCCTTTTTCTTTATTTTTCTGCCATCCGATGGAACTAAAATATAAGTCCTCGTTTAATTGAGAATCCGTACAACTTGTCGACAGGTCGAGACAAGGGTACATACGCGTTTGAACGCTATATCTTGTTAATGAAATTCTATGTACAAATATCGTGTAAAATATATGAATGATACGTAAGAAGAGGCTAAGTTTCGAAAAAAGTTAGAAAGAGACCATATATCGTGCACGTGGTGAGAAACGAATAATTTTAAATAAATATACAAACATTAAAGACGATTGTTCGAAGCGAAGTTGCTGAACGGACGAGTAGTAGCAAGTAAGAGCAAGTAAAGCGGCAAATATAACAGAGTTAACAGAAAAACTTTAGTTGTTCACATTGTGAGTATTGAAATATGTACTTTATTAAGGGATACACGCGCAATGTGACAAAGAATTCAAAGTGTTTCGATGTATACGGATAAGAAGATCCGTCTCTGTTCGGAAGATAAGATAAAAATAATTCGTTTCTTTCTTAGTAACTCTTTCGCGATTATATAAATACTATCGATAAGAAATACTTCTTAAGAAGGATTTTGGTCTTTCGATACACGTATGTACATATATAACCTGAGCTGAGAGAAAAATAAAAATGGAATGTATTTTTAAAACTTCTTTTTTAATAATAATATAACAATATTCGGTTAAATATTCATGAACATCAACATACAGTATTCTTATCTACGTTACAAATCGTTAAGAGAAAAACGAAGTCTTTTTTACGTCCAAGAGTACAAAACTGTAGCAAAAACCTAAATTCACTTTCCCCTCTCCGAGTGGATATCGTGAGGCTAACTTTCACACATCTAAACCGAACATATATATTTTACAAAACGCGTTTACAAAATGAATAGCGAACACGGGGGCAAACAAGACGTTAACTAAAGTTTTTCCTAAGTCACTCTGCGAACGGTCTTTACACCAGGGGATACAAAAAGGTATCTGAATGGCGACGGTGACAGTATCTTTTCTTTCCATTTCCGTTTGTCTCGTTTAGCGAGAACGACGAGAATCCCACCGACAAAAATAAATAAAGGAAAGCGCACTATATTAAATATTGTACATTTATCGTGACCGATGCAGTGTTGGATCAGGATTCGAGGGGCTGGATCGAGAGAAAATTTTCATTGTCTCTCTCGAGACTTTTATCCTCGGGAAAAGAAAAAGAGACTGGGATGAAGAACGGTGTGAGCTCTTTCTTTTTTTACCTGGGGGGAGCGAGGGGGATAAATGTTACACTTGCGTCTCATTAATCTTTAATTAGATAATCAATTCACTAGTTACGAAATGTCATAATAAAAAGTAGTACTCTATAGTTGGTATTTCAATAATAATAGCGTAATAATAATAATTATATTCCATAGTTTTGTTTGCAATTATGGTCTATCGAATAATTAATTAATTAATTAATTAATTAACGTTTACTCCATCATGATATAACCGCGGCCTATATTGTGTTTGATAATATAAAAAGAAAAACAAATCGTATAATACATATATAGTATATATATTATATATATATATAATACATATAATGTATATATATAATATATGTAATACATATATAATATATATAGTACATATATAATATATATATATAGTGTTGTATCGTTCGCTTTTCGTTACAATAATAAATTGTCCACGAACGCCGACGTACCAACAGATCCGACGTGCAAATCGCTTCCGTTTCATTCGTTTCTTTCTTTTTCTTTTTTATCATCTACAGAAGTAATTTTTCGCGAATCTACAATCCAATCTCTTTCTCGATGTTCGAACACACTAAGACCCATTTTTACACTCGCAATTATGTGCTCGAACTATCTCCAGAAAGAGAAAACTCATTTTTCTTTATATCTGTGCACACGCACACACCCATCGCATATCGTATTTTTACGATTCATTCGCAAATGAACGCCGATTCTTATCAATTGTGTCATCTTCGTTAGTAATTAATTATTAATAAAATCAAACGATAAAATGACTCGTGTAGATCGCGATCGTCGGATTGGTACACGATAGCGTTCGATTATCCGCTCTTAAAGAGTTTACTACCAAAAAAGGTATACCACTTTCAGATTTACAACACTGCCCTAAACACAGCCATACTAAGCCAAATACTTTTGGGTCTTCGTCGTTATTATTACTCTTCTTTTTACTAGTAAAATCGTTTACTTAAATCTACAGTTAATAACCATCCGCATTTCGTAGATTGTTATTTTTTGTTCTTTGTGTTACTTTGTTTCTTAATCTTTGCTTTTCGTTTTCATCTCATTTTTAGAAATTTCAGACGCACGACAGGATTTGTTTCTCAACCGATTTATAGTTGACCCGCTCGATTCAACTGCTATCACATAATTCTACATAATTATCTTTTTTTCTCTTTCGTTTTGTCCTTTTATACGACGATCTTGGAAAGACGAATCTACGACGTTCTTTCTATAAAACTAGTCCGAGGGACGAAGGACGTAGAGAAAAACCGGTGGATAGAGGAAAGGGCGAGAAAGAGAATACATAACAAAAGGAATGTTTCGGAATCGATTGACGATTCACATTAACCGATTTATAAAGGAATTTAAAATAGTTTAAAAATAACAAAAAGCGATCTTTCGAGCTTGGAGCTTAATTGAGTGAAAGAAAACCGGTTGTCTTAAACGAACTATTCTCGTTAAACTTACCCCCGTCCAACCCTGCGATTAAAATTTTCAAGGCAAAGAACATTCGCCAATCGTTCGTTAGATTCTTTCTTTATTTTTATAAAAAAAAGAAAAATGCTTTTTGCCTCCTTTTATAACGAATTCAAAGGGTACCGATGTATATAAGACAAATGGAAATGTACGGTGTTATATGTATGTAGATATATCTGATGATAAATGTATCAGAATGAGTCAAATACATTTTTCAAGAGGTAACGTGTCTCTCAAACGGGTCATGATCTCTCTGGCCTTTTGTTTCGAATCGGACCGCGCTTTCGTCGACGGAAACGCCACGTTTAAATATGAATCTTACACCGGTTGCATGTGCCATTAATGATTCTGATTATGATTAAATCGGTTATAGCTTGGTTACATGGTGGCTACATTGTACACCGTGTATTTAAAAAATATCCGACGATACGGACTTCCGAAGTACACCTTCACGCATCATTCGTTACCAGCTAGTCATTTAAATAGGTATCGAAGAAAAAAGAGAGAGGAAAAGTTACACTTATAGTTTACTATGATACAGCACTGGCATAGTCACATACTTCGGTATGTATGTGTACTTGTATCTGTATTTGTATTTCTTTTTCTCGGGTTTATCGTGCACAGAGATATCCTATTATAATTATAACGCGTGTGTGTGGATCCCTTTCTCGCTTTTTTCCCGAATATTAACACTATACTTATGTGTTTTGAATTTTTCTTTTATAATAATATTAATAGTAATAATGGTAATAATAAGAATAATAAAAATAATATTATTAATAATAATAGTAGTAGTAGTAGAGCAATTATAGTAATGATAATAATTAAGAATCAATAATAATTATATATAATAGCAATAATAATAATAATAATAATAATAAATTCATAATAGACAGGGAAATTAATAATAATCGTTATTATTATCGTAATAATAGTATAGTATGTACAGAACGATTTTCATGCGAGGGTCCTTTTCGTTTACGCTTCGTAGCTACATATTTTGATTGAACTGTACATGTTGGACCCTCGGTTTGAAAAACTTTTGTTGTCAAAATTAACACGATTTATAAATCCTCCCATTAGTAAGCTTGTGAATTTCTACTTTTTGGTTGCGACACCGTTAATCCGCGTTGTCTCGCCTGTCCTGTTATTAGGTTTCTTTCCCATAGACAATTTAGCAGATTATTTTGAAGGTTAATTTCAGAATGATCCATAAAATTTAATGGTGCTAAGGTTTCGGCACAACCTTCGGCAACCGTTGCGATCTCTTAATAACAAATTAACCTAAGTTAACATTACTTAACTTTCCACTAAATTCTTTTCTCCCTTCCTTACATACAATGTTGTTGATTTCTTTTTCGATATCTTTCCATTTTCATAAAGTTCGTTTTTTTTTCTTGTTATATACTTTGCATCTTGTCACGATAATAATAATAGTGGTATATAATAACTGCATATAATCGCTACGCTAATAATATTTGAACTATTAATTATCAATTAACGTTAAGTATACACAACACATTTGTACGATTTCACTCAGCCTGCATGAGCAGCAGCGAGGGAAGGTGGTATAGATGAAAAAGTCATGTGTAAGGGGAATAAAAGTTTGGGCAGGGACATAGTGTGTGTTTCTTTTGTATATGTATGTATATTTACGGGGAGAAAGTATTAATAGTCTCTCTTGATTTCATGTGTGTATAGTTTCAAATTAATTGTTTCTCGTCGTTCCACTGGTTCGCAATTGGGGAGCCGAGGTTGAGATACGAGAATACAATAACGTAAGTTCAAGTGTCCATTGAGCCAGCTGTAGAATCTTCGCGGAGCATCTAAGCAGCACCACAACACGCTGTATCGCTCCTGCACCTTAACTCGGAGATAGAAAAAAGAAACACGCGTCATCCGGGATTAATTTGGTCGCACCAGTGGTACTCTGACCCGTCTCTGAACATCAGCACTTGGTCAGTGTACCGGACGTAAGTAGTTGTACCTGATCTCCACGAAGCTAGGAACGCAGAACGGATGGAAGTTACTCTCCCTGTTCTCATGACAGAGAGGTGGAACAGCGACCGTTCTTTCTAAACGGTTGACATACGATGCAAGATCATCGTTCGCCCACTAACATAGTCACTCGTGTTAACCGACTTCACTAACAGTCACTACAATCCTTCGACAAATTTTGAAAGTTGATCTTGTGGCGTCATGGGCGTCACTTCACTCGAGTCTGTGCCACTAGTGGGCGGTGGAGCTGGAGATGGATGATGCGGCATGGTACCCGGGTGACCAGTCGGTGCACCAGTTCCACCACTCAGCTGCGAAAGCATCATTTCACTTGGCCCACCGAGTTCATGAGCCGGTGAATGTGTTGGTGTACCATGAGGTGGATGATGATGGGGTGATGGCACCGGTCCTGATCGAGGAGAAGGAACTGGCTGATTACGTGGAGAGGGAACCGGTCGTGGGGAAGGATTTGGTTGAGGAGAACGAATTGGCGGTGGAGATCGAACGGACTGCATTAATTGTTGCTGTACAGAAATCCCTGGAGGCCCCATCACACCTTGCGGAGAAGGTACCGGAGGTGGTGTTGGTTTTAAGCCAGGTTGACCGTATCCTTGTTCGCTAAAGCCACCATAACCTGGAGAAGAATACGCGGAATCGTGGCAAACGTTAGACCACGAACCAAGCGGCTCGACGAATCTCGTTTTCTCCAGAATTAAATAATTCTTACCGAGAAGGGGCGGCCTTATAGGTCGCTGTTGGCCATAAGGCGGTGCTGGTGGTTGTGTAAATTGTTGTTGTTGTTGCTGCTGCTGTTGCTGCTGCTGCTGTGGGTGTTGTTGCTGCTGCGACGGGTGCTGGTGCCTTTGCAATACCAGCATTTGCTGTTTATACCACTGTGGTGGTTGCTGTTGAACAGGTTGTTGCTGCTGCTGCTGCTGTTGTTGTTGTTGATTTAGCATTGCCTGTATTTGCATTCTGCCTTGCTGTTGTTGCTGTTGTTGGTGCTGCTGCTGCTGCTGATGCTGTTGCTGCTGCTGCTGCTGCTGAGACATTATATGTTGCAGAGCAGGTTGTTGCTGCGGCTGATTAGGACCCAAAGGTCCGCCCACTCCTCCACCATATTGACCACTTTGTTGTTGATTTAGAGCAAGTGCCTATTAATTTAAAAAATTATATGGTGATAGAAATTATTAAAATCAAAAATGTCAGCAGACAAATAATATAGAAGAAATTAATCGTCATACCCGTTGTTTGATAAAAGCAGCCATAATCGGTGGATTGCTTTTGAGTATTTGAAGTATTTGGTTTTGCTGTTCAGGAGTATGGGGATTCTTAAGAGTTTGCATAAGTTGCTGCAATACATGCTTGTGCATGTTGCTTTGAGTTTGAGGACCAACTTGATTAACAGGACCACCAAGAACTCCAGCTTGTCTAGGCATCTGTCCTCCCATAGCTATTGCTGGCTGCCCTTGATGTTGTTGCTGCTGTTGCATTAACTGTTGCGGCGTTTGCTGTCTCAAACCAGGATTCTGTTGCATCAGTGCACTTGGCTGATACCTACTGTAAATAAAGGTGTAGCTTTAATACCTCTCTTTATGATACATATCTGTGTACGGTATTTTAATTATTATATTCAATAGCTCACCTTGCTGTCCATTGATCCATTGGAATAAGATGCGTACCGCCAGGATTTGGCATTTGTACAGGCATTGGCCGTTGCATTGGAGGTGGTGGCATTACGCCACCCGTTTGTCCTCCAACGCCAACTCCAGCACCAACTCCACCACCTGGCGTTACTTTACCATAACCATGCGGCACTTGTTGCCGTGCAGCTTCTTCCTGTACTTGCTTAACAACTTGGAGAACGTGAGCAGGTGGTGTTTGAGTTCCAGGTTTCAATCCTATTCCAGGTTGATGTGGCGAAGGTAAATTGGTAGGACTGACACCTGGTTTCATAGCAACACCTGTGGTCATAGTAACATTTGAACTCTGTTGTCCGGATTGCATCGCTCCCACTGGACCTGTGGGTCTGCTATTCATCGCAGCCATTCGTCTCCTGAAACAGATTAAAAAGAAAGATAAACACCTAGTTATCCTTGGAAATTATTACTCTAACGTTGTTGTTGTTGTTGTTATTGTTATTATTATTATTATTATTATTATTATTATTATTTATTATTATTATTATTATTATTATTATCTACTACTACTACTACTACTACTACTACTACTACTACTACTACTACTACTACTACTACTACTACTACTACTACTACTACTACTACTACTACTACTACTGAGGTATTTACCTTAACAACTGCGCTTGTTGTAGCCGCTGTTGAAGCTGTTGTTGTTTCAGCTTATGTTTGATGTTCGAACAGAATGGAACAAGACATTTAGTCTCTTGGCAGTGTTTAGCATGATAACAGCACAACGCTATCAATTGTTTACAGATTGGACAGCCACCGTTCGTCTTTCGTTTGCAAACTTTAGTATGCGTTACTACTCTCTTCATCTTTTGACAACTTGTTAAACGACAGTTAGCATCTCTACATTGACACGCGTGCACCAACGATTGAATACATCTTTGAATTGAAAGTTTACGCGCTTCCTATTATAAAATAAAAGTATTTATTATAAATATTTATAGCAAAATTATTGATATATTCAGTTAATAAAAATATATTTTTACCTGTGGATTAGCTTGTTTAGCATCGGCCGGCGATGAACCATCATCCAAATCTAAACCAAGTTTTTCCATATGATGAGGATGGCCGTCTTTTTCTTTACAGCTTATACACAGATCAAAATCCTAGCATAATAAATAATAACATTAGATTGTTTAAAAATAGGACGAAACATATTTACAGATGATTGTTTTAATACTTACATCACAAACCGTACAATGATATCTTGTTTCTACATGGCTCTTACAATTATTGCAAGTATAAACAAACTTGTCTTGACCTTGGTTATGCAATTCGTATAGCATAGACATAGAACTAAATTTCGCGCGCCTTAAGGAAGAGAATTCATAATGTCTTTCTCTAGCCATTGTAAGAAAAGCATCGCGGCCATCCATAAGGTCACAATTAATAACTGGATCAGGATCTTGAATAGGCTAAAACGTGCATTATTTTCGAACGTAAGAATACTATTCGATTATTAAAAAAAATAATAAATATAAATTAATTCTAAATACTTACTGCTAAACTGGCTGCACTTTGAGCACTATGCAACCTAATAACAAAGAATACTTCTTTATGTTTCTCCATAGTGGCAAAAATTTTCGCTGAAAGATCATTTCCTGTTTGTGGGGTATTAGATTTTTTACTATTTTTTCTTTGATTTGCCTTAGATTTATTGGATTTCTTAGCTTTCTTTTGCCCTTTCTTTTTGCCGTCTGGCCCTGTTTCAGAATCCTCTGACAATGAGAAAATCTGTAACAAAAAGTTGTATAGACCATGATTAGTTCTTTGTTATCTACCATCTCCAATAATACATCACTAAACTGTACTTACTGCATTAGCAGCGGCAGCTTCCGCAGCTTCCGCTTGTTTACGTTTCTCTTCTTCTTCTTGATCTAATTCTTTGATACTTTCTTCTAAAACATTCGGCCAGAAATCACCTTCAAAATACGGTAAGTCAGCTGCAGATGTAAGTTTATCTTCCATCGCTTGTTTTAAAATGTCCTGAAATTAATAAATAAAAAAAATTAACCTCCAATTTTTATCATTTTTAAATTGTAAACAGAAACATTTAACTCTAATTGTAGTCTGCTAATCCTATGTTTAAATTTATAAGTTCAATGTAAACATTAGCTTCTACAGACATTAATTTTAGTCTCTTCTGACACCCAAGAATGACAATTAATTCTCAGGAAACACATAAGACTGTATAAGATGTGTTCAGATTAGTTATGTGTTAATACTAACTTTGTAATCGAGCACGATCCTTTCAACCATGCCTTTGTCTAACATTTTCTTATACCATTCTTGTAATCTTTTAGGCTTTGGAATCTTTTGTTCTTGCGGGTGGCAGTGGAAAATGTAATCATCACCTTCAGAAGGAGGACAAGCCCAAATATGAGCCATTGTATATCTATACAAAAAAAAAAGTTTGTAATAAACGTATTAATACTGCAAATTTCAATTTCAATGAACAAAGTTCAATTTACCCTAATTGTTTTGCATAATCCAAGTATCCAAGGAGAATTTCGTGATATACTGCTGTTCGGAACTGTCTAGGCCGGAAAAAGTGTACAGAATCCAAATACGCAATATAAACTCTTCGAGTATTAGGTGGTGTACATTCACTACCATATTCTTGCACATGCATGCCGAAGAAACATACATCAGTTCCGTCAACTTCTTCAAATGCAAACAAAGCTTTTGCTCTATACGGAAATTCACCAGGCATTTCACCATTTTCCACAAATCGACTTCTCATTCCTGGCTTCACTTCGACAACTTTATCACTGGATGCTACAACTCTAATTGCAACTTCTCCAGCACCAGCTTCTTTTTTCTTTAAGAAGTTGTTCACACGTGTTTCGATATAGGTACCTAATTTAGTAACTGGTAAACGTTTAGCATTAAATTTATTTTCTTTACGTTTTTGACCTTTTTTCTTCAAGCAATTATCACAAGTAAATCTACAAGAAAAAGTCTAGTTATAAGAACTACACTATTTATATTTATTTCATAAAAAAATGTTTTACTTACCCTAAAGGCCAAATTGATTCCATGTGAAGCACACATATCTGATGTACCTTTCTACCGCAATCTGTACATACAACAAAAGGCTCCAATTCCAAATGATCGTTCTTCATTTCCTGGAACTGTTCCTTTTTAATGGCACTGTAATAAAATATAATAATTTAATTTTATGTATGTATATATAATACAGATATGTATTATATATGTATATATATGTCGGAGATAAGAGGACACCGGTGCCTTCCCTCTGAAACCTCGGTAAAATCCATAAAAACATTGTAATTAAACGATTTATCGTCATTCTACCCAATTGTATTTGTTTGAGACTTGTGACAATGAGCTTGGGCTCAAGGCGACAATTAGTCGCCAAACGTGGCCGCGGTCAACGGGACGAACAAAGGCATTGAGTAACCCTATAGCTCTCCTTAAAAGAAAGATTTGTAGCGACACGTGATAGTAAACATTCCAACGATTTCTGTCCCGTAGCTCGCCACACGCAGACCCCATTCTTCGAGTAAGATGATTGCCAGATGTCGATGCGTCTCCGCAGTACATGCTAGCCCGAGGGCCCGT